TGATAATTAGGTATCACTAAAGGGGGGGCCTTTTTTGTGGTTGATTGAACTTTTTATTCTTCCTACTTTCCAATTTTATTTAACTCGTAATAAACAGTAAATATGAGGGGGATAATCTCTATTCATTAAGTTACCTATAAACTTAAAATTCTAATAGGAAAGATGCACTTTGTATGTACTTATCTCCCAGTTTCCTTATCAGTTCCACCTACAATGGCTTAATCTTATACCACTGGTGGTCAGAATTTTTTGGGAGCACCTTATCACATCTTCACTGTTCACCTGCCATCTTCAGTTTCCCACAAACTAGATACTGTACATATGTAGAGTCCACTTAAGGTTTTATCACCATTTTAATATATAAGCTACCTACAGTCTTACATTACTTTTAAACTGGCTCAAGTCTTACCTAAAAAGTTAAATTACTAAAGATTGTACTGAATTAGAACCTAAGTGCCTACCCTTTCCCTAATTGTCATCTCTTATCATCATTAAAGGCGAACTAGTCTGGTTATAATAAAGTCAAGATAATTTACTGCATAAAACCACTAAAAATTTCAAATCGTGTATTATAATCAACACTAAGCATTAAACCACCAAGGTCATACAGCGCATTCAAATCATATAGAGTCCCATGAGGTTCAAGTACGGTAATTTAATCTTATGCTTAAATTAAACAGGTACAGGTACACATTGGTACCTGTATCATACATATGTAGTAACACGAGTGTCAATTACCAAGGATAACCTAAAAAGTACAGTGGACCCCCGGTTAACGAACTTTTTTCATTCCAGTAGTATGTTCAGGTGCCAGTACTGACCGAATTTTTTCCCATAAGGAATATTGTGAAGTAGATTAGTCCATTTCAGACCCCCAAACATACACGTACAAATGCACTTACATAAATACACTTACATAATTGGTCGCATTTGGAGGTGATCGTTAAGCGGGGGTCCACTGTAGTTACTTTCATCCACTTTAGTAATGATGACATTGATTTACCTAAGTTTAACACAAATGACCCCTTGCCATATATTGATGATTATGACAGTTTTATGAAAACAGGCCTTCACTTTATTCATGTCAATGCAAGATCACTTTTTCCAAAATTGGCAGAGATTACGATTCTAGCTAACAGAACTCAGGCAGCAGTTATAGCCATCTCTGAATCCTGGTTGGACGATACAGTGACTGACGAGGTCAAAATAGGTTACAATATAAAACACACAGATAGGTAAAGAAAAGGTGGTGGGGTATGTGCCTACATAAGATATGACAGCCTATAATCTAAGACCTGATTTAAATGACAATAAACTGGAGATTCTATGATTTGAAGTGTTGCTTCCTAAGACCAAGCCCATCTTAGTAGGAACTAGTTGTAATACCCTGCCACCCAAGACCAGTTCTTAGGGGGCTTTTCGAAAGTCTTGTCCAGGCCTGGTGGCCTGGTGGCTAAAGCTCCCGCTTCACACACGGAGGGCCCGGGTTCGATTCCCGGCGGGTGGAAACATTTCGACACGTTTCCTTACACCTGTTGTCCTGTTCACCTAGCAGCAAATAGGTACCCGGGTGTTAGTCGACTGGTGTGGGTCGCATCCTGGGGGACAAGATTAAGGACCCCAATGGAAATAAGTTAGACAGTCCTCGATGACGCACTGACTTTCTTGGGTTATCCTGGGTGGCTAACCCTCCGGGGTTAAAAATCCGAACGAAATCTTATCTTATCTTATCTTAACAATTGTGAGACAGCAATACTGGGAGACTTCAATATCTGTTTTCAACAGTAAAATAATGGGCTATGTAAAAGGTATAAAAATTTGTATTTGTATTTTGTATAAGCAAATTCTAGGTTTAAACAGTTACACTCCACTAATTAATGCCCCAACCCAGATCACAGTCAGGCATCATTACCACAGGCCTTGGTTTTATTTATTTATTTTTGTCCTTGCAAATAGTACATTGAGATTTTGTATTTACAATAATGGGTTGCAATGCAAAGAGCCTCTATTATGCCTAGGGATTATGGGCCAACTTAACATTATTGGCTTACAGACTACTTAACACTAAGAATTGTCATAGTTGTACAGTAGAATAAATTATATCATAGTTGTACAGTAGATTATTAATTATAAGTGAATCTAATTTATACAAGACAAAAGATATATTCATATACTGTATTCAAAAATGCTTTTTGTGAAAACAATGATTCAATTATATTCCTGTCAACTATGGATAAAAGGTTCAAAGTAATTGTTGAAATTATGATGTGGGAGTACATAAGTGAGTATATGTGTACTGAGTATTTAGCATTTAGTCTAGAGTGATTAAGTGGCTTTTGAGAAGAGTCTTAAATTGATTTTCAGACCGGGTTACTTTAGTATCTTCTGGTAATGAATTCATTTACTGCACCAGGAAAATCACTAGGGAATGGATAGGCCTACAGAGAACAATAAAAATTAGGTCAACTAGAAACTACAGTAAAGAAACACTGGTAAACAGGCTACACAATTGTGACTGGACAGTGATAAGTTTCACAGACGTAAATGATGCCTGGAAAAATTCAAAACAATGTTCACTGCCATCCTTGATAATATTGCACCAGTTAGAGGGTAGGATTAAACAGAGAACCGAACCCTGGATGACTACCGAAATATTAGATATGAAATTCAGAGACCAGTTGCTAAAAAAGATTTAAGGCAAACAGGCAGGATATTGCAGTGCTAAATGAATTCCAAAGGGTGAGGAAGAGTGCAGAGACTTATAAAAGGAGAGCAAAAATCGAGGAGTACAAGAATAACCCTAGAAAGCTCTGGCAACAACAAACAGTTGGGGTATAGTCATAAACCAGTAGTTAGATCTAACATAGTACTAAATATAGATAACGAGGTATGCCATGAAACGACTGAAGTGGCAAATACACAGACTGTCGCATAAACACTAGTAAGTAAACTACCAACTATCAAATACCTTTAACACAGACTCTGATACGTTTAAAACATACTATACCAATAAGGGGTAACCCCAAATAGTTGTCAACGAGTAAGTGCATCTCATGATTTAATGCAAAAAGAACTACGCAGATTAAACCCAACTAAGAGCACAGGCCCAGATAACATCCCGTCAAAGTTCCTAAAAGATGGTGCTTCTGAATTGCCAATCCCCATTGCTCACATAATAAATTTGTCCATCACCACTAATACCATACCAGAGGGGTTCAAGGAGGCCAGAGTTACTCCTATCAATAGCAGATCTGATGTCAGCCACTATAGGCCTGTTAGTATACTCAAGTCTAATATCAAAAATTTGAGAGGGTGGTGTACTGTCAAGTAGTTAAGTATCTTATTGACAAAAATATTCATCATAGTTACCAATCAGGCTTTAGATCTTACTCAACCGACACCTCCTTAATTAATCTGACGGATTAAATGAGAACTGAAATGTCGACAGGGAACCTCAACTTAGACTTGCAAAAGGTCTTCGATACTGTCAATCGCAATATACTAAGTAAGAAACTTCAAGCTATCGGCATATGTTCCATAGACTGGTTTAAGTCCTATCTTAGCAGTAGGAAACAAATTGTCAAAATCAACAAAACAGAATCAGAACCCCTGCCGATAGTATGTGGACTTCCCCAAGGTAGTATTCTGGGTCCCTTATTATTTGTGTTATGTTAACAACATGCCTGTCAGTGTCAAGTGCAAACTCCTACTTTATGAGGATGACAGTGCTCTGTTAGTGTCAGGTAAAGGCCCACAAGATATAGCTAATGTAATAACACTAGAACTGGAGTCCTGCAGGAAATGGTTAGTAGACAACAAACTATCGTCACGCCTCGGGAAAACGGAAGCCATACTCTGACACGAAACATACACTGAGAAGCGTAAATAATTTTAATGTCCAGTGTAATGGGGAACCCATCACTTCAGTTTCCTCAGTAAAATATCTGGGAATCCCCTATGACCCATGCATGTCAGGAGAACTGATAAGGGACAGTGTTGTAAAGAAAGTGAATGCCAGACTAAAGTTCCTCTACAGACAAGCACAATGTCTACCTACTGAGGCTCGCAGGACCCTATGTCTAGCCCTTATAGTGTCATATGGACTACGCTTGCTCTTCATGGTACTCTGCCTTGAAAAAAAAATGCAAATCACGCAGAACAAAATGGTAAGATTCATCCTGGACCTGGGTCCAAGAGAACATGTAGGCCAGGATGAATTACAACAGTTGGATATGCTGAATATTGAAGACAGCGTAAAACAACTGAAGTTAAATCAAGTTTATAAAATTGCTCACAAACAATGTCCAGAATATCTTGCTGCCAATTCTGTCAAGGCTGGGATCCGGAGCAATCATAGTACTAGGGGGAGAGAGCACAACTTTGTAGTACCCACAGTCAATGGCCAGGCTTCAAACACCTTTTATTGTACAGCAATAAGGGAATGGAAGACTGCCCGCACATGTCAAAGCCAGTCATAGCATGAACCAGTTCAAGAGAGCCAAAAGGTGCCCAATAAATGTAGCGACAGAAAGGGAAGAGAATTATTTTTTTAGCTAACACATGTAATCTTCCCTTCTTCCTAGTGTATCTCCTTTATAGCATAATAAGACATTATCTCGTTTATAGAATAATAATAAGATATTGTCTCCTTTACACTGTAATAAGGTAAAATGACCCCAATGGAAATGTCACTGACTTTTTTAAAAGGTTATCCTAGGTTCTCTACACATACGTTGCTATGTATTATAATCTATGTAACCATTTGTGTATACCTGAATAAACTTACACTGGGGTTCCTGTAATGTACTGTATCTTGGTAGTTTCAACAGGTTAGACAGTGACAGCCACCCTGTACAGTTTTTTTGTCATAATCATTACATGCATATCATCATGATGTGTTATGACAGTGTCATGACAAAACATTAATGCTTTCATCAAGTTCTGTAGTTTTCTACACGTCAGCACTTTGGCCAGACTTGCCAGTTGTTGCACTAACTTACCCCTGTGTAAGGAACGTCAGGTTTGACTATAGGTTGAGGGATGGCAGGAGCAGAGTAGGCTGCAGCCAAGGGTAAATTTGGCTTCCCTACTGCCTTGAGGAAGACTGGATGACGGAGCAGGCTACGTAACATCATAGTGTAACAGCAGAACACTAGTGAAGACCAAGGTAGTCTGCCTAGCAAGGTCCGGGTGGCAACTGATACGTCACCACCTGTATCTCCCTGTTGCCAGCCTCGACTCCATTATAACTGTTGCCTAACCAAGATAGCCTAACGAAGCCGAATATTACTTTATTTTTATATCTGATTAATATCTAGGTACTTAATGTACTACTAGGTAACGTAGACAGCTTTATTAATTCACAAAAAAGTAATCAAGGGCAGCAGGAGTAAAACTTATCCACATGTCCCAGTATGTACTTAATGCTGAGCTTACTTTAATTTAGGAATTAGTGTATCTTTGACTTAATAACATTGTGTACAAATAGGTTTTCAACCCAGTTAACCAACCAGCTTAGCCGAGTATACCTGCAGAGGGTTTCGGGGGTCAACGCCCCCGCGGCCCGGTCTGTGACCAGGCCTCATGGTGGATCAAGGTTTGATCAACTAGACTGTTACTGCTGGCAGCACGCAACCCGACGTACGAACCACAGCCACAGTATTGACTTAGGTGCCTGTCCAGGCACCTAAAGACAGTAGTGAGGTCCTTTCGTTTACTTTAATAGGTTAAGTGTGCTCCATACCTACTGTAGATAGTTTTACAGAGTACTGACTTTACTCACACCTATCCTATCTGTGGTTGTTAAGAGATCAGTTACACGATGGGTTCAGGGAATGATTCCCAAATTTAGTTTGTTAGACTTAATGCCTATCTATTACCTAATGGTTCTTAATTAAGGCTGCATTTCACCTAAATGTTAACATTACATGTACTTCAAGCCATAAAATAAAAATGAAAGTAAATTACATAAACACTATGGTAACTTCTGACAGGAAGGGGACTGGCATACAAAGCAGTCTTTTCATTCCTCAGAAACATGCACACTTGATCTTATGCAGTGTGAAGCGTCTTCATGTACAGTAAGGCATGCCATGCCGCAGTCATGGGGTGTACAGTGAACATATTTTAAAAACATTAGTACAAAGTAGAGAACAACATCCAGTATTGGGCCCTACTTAAACGAGATGGGTCCTATACAGATGACAGTAAGGAAATGAGTAAGCTACTCAAATCCCGCTAACCAGACTTGCGGAAAATTACATTTATCTGAATGTATCATTATGTACATAACAGTAAATGAACAAAGATAATTATTATTTATCAGTTAGACAATTTTTTTTTTCTCGAAGAACACAAAACATTCACGCACTTGACAAACACAATTAGACACAGCTGACCAGCCCGTTAGATTACCCACTGAACACTCACAACTATCTCAAATCTCGTAACTCCAAGGCTTTATATTCAGGCGGGAAGTCTCTCTCCCATCTCCCCTCATATACCAACCTATTTCAACATTTTGTCCTATAAATCGTCCCCGCTAAAACCCTAATTCTACTGTTACCATCAACGTGCCTCATAGCCCATGACACGAAAATATAATCGGCCACAACGTATGACACCGCACGTTGTACACGCAAGTCAACCCCACCTACATCAAAGCTCAATGCCCGGAGTACCGACAACCCTCCCCCCTACCAAACGCAAAACCCTACTGAACCACTCCCGTACTATACCTAAAGTCTCACAGAAATACACAACGTGAAAAGCAGATTCCTCCATCCCGCACGCCGGACAACCCCAGTCTTCCTCCAAACGCCTATTATACAACACCACCCTGGACGGCAAGATCCCATGTAAAAATTTAAAAACCACTTCCAGTACTTGAGCAGGCAGACGCAACTGTTGAACTCGCCTCCATATATTACCCCACGCATACATGGGATACATTCCTTCAACTCGCACCACGACTACCTCCCTACCCGCCCTTTCTAAGGTACATAATTTTACACAGCGCACGTCCCTCATGTTCAATAATACGCGAAGCATCGCGTGGCACCAAATTAAATTCCTCCCTCTCCACCACCTGCGCAGGTCGTGATACAATTCACTTAACCCACCATGCATCCCACCCAGTCCGAGAAAACGACGCTTCACGTAACATGCCATGACACGAGCCTCTAGAGCAGTGGTTCCCAAACTGGGGGTAAATTACCCCCTGGGGGTAATTTGACCATTTTTGGGGGGTAATGGAGGGGTGACAGAAAAAAGTTATGAATTCTGAAAATCAAGAAAACGATGCGGTACCCGGTATGAGGATTATTGTTAACTTTGTCTTAGTATATAAAGTTGTAAAGTAAACCTATTATAAGTAAGTAATAAAGTTAAACCAAATAACAATAAACATCAAAAACTAATATACAGTATTAGAAAAGAAGAAATATATAGCTAAGTGTGTGGAAACCCAAAAGTATTTTGACAAGTATGCTTCAGGACAAAAGTCACTCAGTAGCCCAGATCGACCTGTCCAGTACTCGTCACTCACTTCCTGAGGCTGCCTCTATTTCACACTGTCAGTTTATCTGTGAGCATCAGCCGAGGTAGACATAAGCTGGTATGTATGTGTAAGATAAGATAAGATAAGATTTCGTTCGGATTTTTAACCCCGGAGGGTTAGCCACCCAGGATAACCCAAGAAAGTCAGTGCGTCATCGAGGACTGTAACTTATTTCCATTGGGGTCCTTAATCTTGTCCCCCAGGATGCGACCCACACCAGTCGACTAACACCCAGGTACCTATTTGCTGCTAGGTGAACAGGACAACAGGTGTAAGGAAACGTGTCGAAATGTTTCCACCCGCCGGGAATCGAACCCGGGCCCTCCGTGTGTGAAGCGGGAGCTTTAGCCACCAGGCCACCGGGCCCTGTGCAGTATATAGTTAGTATTTACCCACTGTTACTGTGAATTTGTAGCTATTATTAATTTTATATATAACGTATGTGTGGTTCTTACGTTTTCAATGGTTTTGCTAGGATTAGCAGAGTATGCGAGGCTGTATACGTTCACGTTTAGCCATATATATCAATAACAACATTTTGTGAAAGGGGTAACATACTTTATGTGGCATGTTAAATTGGGTAACAAGCTGAAAAAGTTTGGGAACCACTGCTCTAGAGGAATGAGACCCAACCCTCCCTGATGCATTGGTGTCTCCATCACCGCTCTTGTGAGCCAATCGCATCCTGAACCCCACAAAAATCGATAAACTCTATGCAAAAGACATTTGATGTCCCCCTGCAACAGAGGATACAGTGCAGCAACGTGCCATACTTTGCTATAAAGCAGGACATTAATGACCACCGCCCTCTGATGCAGGGTTAAATGTCGCGGCCGTAGACTATTTAAGCGCCCCAAGACACTATGTACAACCCTCCCCGAATTGCACGCCCTCATCTGATCGATCTCCCGCATATAATGAATACCACATATAGTGATACGATCAACCACAGTCCACCCCTCTGCATCCACCCCATCCCCCACCCACTCCCCCAACTCCATAATCTTCGATTTTTCTCTATTAACACACATATATGCCAAATATGTCAACAAGTCTCCCAACAAAACCCAATTGCTCTCGTGAACGTAATAACACAGTAGTATCATCTACATAACCCACAAGGGTCGGTCGACCACTACTCGAACCCCACGATGTCTCTATTCCCCGCCCACAAACAGCCCAGTAAAAAGGGTCCTGCATTCATGCAAAAAGCATTTGAGACATGGGGCATCCCTGACGAATGCCCCTGTTCAAGTGGACAAAAACACCTAACTTGCCATTAATTTGTACTTTAAAACCCGCTCCATTGTACAATGACCTCATTTCCAAAACCCTGCCATCTCATAAATTTCCACAGAACCTCCCTTTCCACACTATCAAAAGCGGCTCGCCAGTCTAAAGCCAAAACACCACCCCCACCCCTCACCCCGCATTCCTCAACAAACTCCCTGATATTCCCATGACCATCATACATTGACCTACCTGGCACACCAAACTGACTCTTATGGATTACCTTATCAAACACTTTCTTAATTCTATTCATCAATATTTTTGCATATAGTTTATAGTCACTACACATCAGCGATATGGGACAGTAGTCCTTAATCGCTAACGGCACATCACATTTCCTAACTAAGACCAACACTGCCATACACTGAGACAGACCTAACACCCCCCCCCCTCCTTCATCGCATTGAGTAAACAAACCATAAAAGTCCGTATTACCTCCCAATGTTTGATATAAAATTCACAAGGGATGCCATCAATGCCTGGAGCCTTCCCCTTACTCATTCCTTGTAGTGCCTCCCACACCTCTGCCTCAGATATAGGCCCACCCATGAGAAGGCGATCATAATCATTTAACTCGCATCGTACTCCTCTCCCCAAATCCTGTATCGCATGCTCGCTCACGTCTTTACTTTGCATCTGGAGCTTACTCCAAGTATCGACATAAAAACTTATCCCCTCAGTTGTTGTTAAGACCTGTCCCTCACTATACCCGTCAACTTCATCCTGCACCACTAAACTCACAATTTCAGTCGCTTTTCGCCTTTGTGTCTGACTTTGTAAGACGCAAGCAGACGGCTTGTCACCCCACAAAGCCTCCTCCACCCCACTCGAAATGCGCACCCCATCGAAAACCTTATTTTTCAATACTTGGATTTGTTCTTTAATAGTATCGATCTCATCCACTGGGTAAACCCCAGATGCCTCTCCCTGCACATAACATTGTCGTAGATGACCCTCCAGGTACCTCTGAAAACCATACTCCAAGCGAGTGGCCTCCTTACACCAATGCACATAAAAATTCTTAATTTGAGGCTTCACAACCTCATCCCACCTTCGTACTAAATCCCACCCCTCCCAGGAGTCTACTCCCATAGACGCCCAGAAGTCCGCGAATAGTTCCCTATCATCTGCACTTTGTAGCATCCGCGTATTCAGTTTCCAGTATCCCTTAAAACGATGCGGGAGACCTCCCCAGTCAAGCTCTACAAAAACTCCCCAGTGGTCGGAGAAAAAGACATTCAATACACGCACATTGATTACGACCACCCGCCAAGACACATACACCCTATCTAAACATGCTGCATAGCCCCTATGCACAAAAGTATACTCAATCCCCAAGTCACGTCCTCTGCGTACATCTACCAACCCCAACCCA